GATTATCTACACCAGAGGCAAAATTGACAGTTGAGACAATAAAGTTGTATTATTTGAGTCTGTTTTCAAAGTAAATAAAAAAATAGAGAAAACTAATGTTATGGTAATGAATTAGTGACAATGACCCATCTACTTCCCTTTGTGTTAACTGTACAATGATTTAGTGGTTCAAACTTCAATGTATAAATATTTATGATTTTAAGTTTTAATGTTTGGTGTGATTTATCAGAAAAAACTGTGTGATTAGCTATTAGTTTTGATTGACAGTCCCGTTTATAATAAAACATTATACTGATATTATACATATATATTTCTCAGCTTTTATTCCAGTTAAATGTTTTCTTGCTTAAGACCATATGAGCTGATGTATTTATTTTGCTAACCTCACAGAAGGGTTCAAGCACTTTGGTTTTCATCAGCAATGCTGCTGTTAACTATCCTGTTTCAATGGAAATAAAAAGCTCCACCTTTGCTCAGGTGTGGTCACATGACATCCTCGTAGTCAAGTTCAAGTTGCGATAACATGAATGTTATCCTTAGTGTTGATAGTGAGCAAATACAAAATTCATTACATCGACTATAATGGTGTCTATAGTTAGTAAATTAATAAATTTATTTTTTGTACCTACAGTCAACAACAGGATTGAAGCAGAAGAGTATGAAACTAAGTATCGGGGTAGAGAACTTCCTGGCTTTCTCAGCTACAAAATATTTGAGGAGTTTATGAAGGACCAGATCGACGAGATGGAGGAGCCTGCTCTAAAGAAGCTTAAAGAAGCTTCAGGTGAAAAGCAGAGAAACTGACTCAGCATAACACTTCATATTCTATACCGTGTCTCCCTGAAATCTCCCTGAAATTCAAATTCAATTCCAATTTTGTTCCATTGTTTTCTTTCCAATCCCAACTCCAGTTCCATTTCCTGATTTGGATTGGGATTGATTAATGCATTCCAGAATAGCCCCAAACCTGGTAGCCACAGCATATTTCATGAAAATGATATTTGTTTTGTGTTACAGATATAGTGAGGAGAGCATTTGTACAACTTTCTCAACGGAGCTTCACTGGATACCCGAACCTCCTCAAAACTGCCAAGGTATAATTATATATAGTTGTCATCCCTTTGTAGTACATCCAGAATATTAGAATGCTGAATGACTGAATCATGAAATACAGCATTACTGCAATTTTCTATAACATTGTGGTAGAATAAAACATGGTTGTTTTTTTATTTGCAGACTATAATTGAATCCATAGAGCAGAGCCAAGCCACCACAGCAGAGGATTTGCTGAGGACTGAATTCAAAATGGAGAAAATAGTGTACACCCAGGACAGGAGATACACTGACACCGTAGAGAGTGTCAGAGTGGAAGAGAATATGGGGACTGCTTACGGGCAAAATATTGTGGCCACACTACATAATTTGCAGTGGCATTTCAAATCATACTATCGCGTAAGTAACTTCCTTGAAAGCATTATGGACGGCTTTATGAAA